TCAGCCGGTACGTCTGTTGTATCATCCGCGGTGGGCTCTTCAGCCGGAGGTTCTTCTGCAACACTTTCTCCGGCGGGTTCTTCCACGACAGCGGCTTCCTCAGCAGGTGTCTCGGCGGGTGTCTCGGTAGGTGTCTCAGCAGAATCTTCTTCAGCGACAGGTGTTTCGGTAGACTCTTCGGCTGGCGCTTCGCCGGAGTCAACTTCTGCTGAGGCCTCATCGGTTGTTTCAGGCTGTGCGGCCTCTTCAAGTGACTCTTCGGGGGCAGCGGCCGGTTCTTCCAATGCCTCTTCAGTTGCATTTGCTGGCTCCGCTTCAGGTTCAACGTTGGCATTGTCTGCCGCTAAATCTTCTGTCGACTCTGGCGTTCCCGCGTCTGCTGGTGCTTCATCCACAGTTTCTGTGGTGTCGGGACCAGGTTGTTCCTCTGGAGTTTGATTCTCCTGTCCTTCTGGGGCGACAGGAGTTTCCGTGGGTTCTGGCGCAGGCTCGGGTTGTGCTTCAGCCTCATGCTCTTGAGCCTCCTCCGCATCTGCGACCGGTTCTTCGGGCGATGCATCGCCGCTGTTGGCTTCGGTGCCCTCGTCGTTGGTAGGGGGCTCAGCAGGGGGCACAGCCTCGCCCTCTTTACTGTCTGCCGGTGGCTGTTCTGTTGCGTTCTCCCCGTCCTTATCTACGTCGATCAAGTCGGCCGTCGTTGCTTCCGCTGGCGTTTCCCCATCCCCGGATTTGGCGTCTTCAGCCGCTTGTTGTTCGGCTTCTCCTTTTTCGGCTTCGACATTGTCATCTTTTGCAGTAGGGTCACATTCTATGAAGTCATCCTCTAAGTGTAAGGTCAGCTGACTTTGGGAACTGAGATCAACATCAGGCATACCATTGCTGGGGGCTTCAGTGTTCTCCTCAGGCGGTGTATCATCTATATCCGCCGGTGCAGCGTCTGCTTCGACTGGTTCCGGTTCTATGTCCTTTGGTGCATCCTCAACAGGTTGATCACTGGGAGGACTGTCTTCCGGCGCTGGGTTGGACTCGTCTGCTTCTGGAGCGGGACTCTCGCCTTCCTCTTTTGTTTCAGCAGTCGTATCGTTGGAGGTCTCTTCAGCCTCTGGTGGTGGCGTTGTTGCTTCGGTGGCACCTGATGAAGCTTAGTACAAGGAAGCAAAGGATGATAACAATCACGTGAGGTGACATGATAACAAGTGTTTCAGGCCAGAAGGTAGTATCACAGGCAGGTACAACATACCTTCAGACTCGGGAGACGTTGAGCCATCAGCGGGGGCACTCTCGGATCCTTCTGTAGGGGTAGTCTCGGCGGCCGGGGCATTATCTGGTTCGACGGGGTTGTTGTTATTGTCCTGATCCTTAGGCGGCGTCAGATGATCCGTAGATGCAGTATTGACAGGGTAATATGAAAAGCTAAAAGTTTGACGGTCGAAGGTCTGATAGTGACGCTCGAAAGTCTGGTACTCAAACTTGGGAAGTTGTGCATACTGGACCGGGCGTTGCTCCATTTTCTCCGACATCAACGGGTGCCTCTGGGGTGGGATCGGGAGAGGGGGTTTGCTCTTTGGAGAGTTGATTGTCGTTTACGGGGAGCCTTTGCTTATTATTATTGTTGTTGCTCTTCTTTTTCTTGTTGTTTCCTTTTTTACCCATGGCATCGGATCAGTGGCGTTTCTTGGGTCTCTGATGACCTCTTTGTGAAACGGGAGTAACAAGCGGATATAAATCTATTGAAGGAAATATGACATATGCCTGTCGAATGTCTAGACAAGGCGCAGAAGACAGGGGGGAAGGCGAATGAAGAAAACCCAAAAATAGGGGCAATGCAAGAAAAAGGAACGCGAAACGAGGGGTGCTGTGTAATTGCTGGGTTAAGCAAACGCTGGGGTATGAGAGGTTGGAAGCGCAAAGGGCAAAAAGGGCATAGGCCCGATGGTCCGCCAACAACATTGTGGTTCCTTTTCGAGGACGAAGACGAGGCGACGTATAGTAGGGCATTCGCTATCCAGTGCAATGGGTCACTGTCCAGGAATGGCTCGGGCTTGGGGCTGGGGACGTCATGAACGAACTGCCCGACGGCATCTCGTATCATTGGGCCACGTCTCACGGGCCCCATGGCCCTCCCGGACGGACATAGAAAGAGGGTCCTCTTCCGGAAGCATCACTGGGGCAAGGGAATAACCGGCGGAGCACCATCTGCAGCAGAAGCATGCAGTCGCAACTAGCAAGCAGGTGGCGGCGGGGAGTGGATGGGCAATTGCGGTCCAGATAGGATAGCAACACCACAGGGAATTGGGTGCTCCGTAGGGTGTGTCATTAGTGTGGTGGGGGTGGTGCCACAGCTCCATCAGAAGTGCTTTCGTAATTTAATTTTTTTTTTCTCCATCTGGTGTCAATTCCTTTTGTTTATTTGGCCTCTTGCGGGCAGAAGTATTGCATAGATAGTTCAAAAGTATCGTTGTTAGCCAATGCTCTGCAAGTACTTTGTACGGGGTCGTAAACCCAGTGGGAGAGGAAAAAGCAATTGGGGGGTCGATAGAGACCTGCGCCTTGAGCATGCAAGGTCAAATGATTGATCTTAGGCCCAATGAGTGAGCATTCTAATACAGCCAATCATGCCGGCATCCGGGATAATGAAAGGCGAGAACAAAAAAAAGCCATCGAAAGTGTAAAGGGCATTGCCCATGGTTACTCCGACCTGTCGAGTGTACCTCATCAACATAGTCGGAGCACCAGTATCATAATCATTCATGCCCAACGGCTGGTGCAGCAATAGTAGTAAATTAGACGCATGGTCCGTGAGTAGCGAGACTAGGTCCCTGGTCAGGGAAGAAAAAAGCTAGGGGTGGTTGGGTGTAACTAGGGTGCGAATGTTATGGCCATGGGTAAGGATTACTGTTGTGACTGTGCACCGTTCGGTGGGTAAAGGCGATCAATCATCGACAACAGCATCACTTCCCCATCACCGAGATGACAGGGGGGGGTGAGGGAAAGCTAGTCGCGAGAGAGGGAGAGATGAAGATCTCCAGAAACCTGGTCAATTCGTACTTCTGGTACTGATGAAGAACCATCGAAGCAAAAACGAAGCAAGCCAGAAGGGTCAATGGAAAAACAAACGCCTGGCGGAATGGTGAGGAAAGGAAAAGAGAGAGGGGAGGGAGGGAAAGTGAAGCCGGATTCGAAACTCCACCGGACAATTCAGCAGCCGCAGATCACTGGACCGCCCAACCAGGAATAGTGGGAATTTCTTTCGATCGGGTTTCAGTTTGAATCATTTTCAAGTGCCTTGACTATTCATGATTTCATTCAACAAGAGGTCAATTCCTCTCAGGCACCATGAAGAAGGGCGGCAAAAAAAAAATCGTCCATCGTGTCTCCAATCCCGATGACATTTTCCCGATCCACGATGGAAAGATCTGTCATCCCAAATCCGCATCGCGATTACTTCCGAGTAATAATCGAGAGATTGATTCAATAATTCCGAGGAAGGTCCAGATCATGGGCGGTGGGCAAGAAAAGAAGCCGGACTCGTCGCCATCCACCGATAAGTGAGGCGCATTGCTGTTCTGGCAGCCGGTGAGTGGCTACCAGTGCACGCCCCCCCATCCAGGCCCGTTGAAGGAGGCGTCATTAGTGATTAGGTGAATGGGAAATGGCTGCAAGCTACGGAGCACACTAAATCGTGATGCTAACTAACCCCATTCCTCCGAGACCCTCCATTTCTCCCTTGGCTACCTGCCCATCAGGCAAGCTGCCCAGCATTGCAGCTCGCGCAGACAGTGTTGTGTTTTGATGGGCTCCCCCCGCTCGGGTCTATACAAACCCCAATCAGCCAGCACCGATGCATTCTCCCTCTGGCACAAACACCCTCCACGTCAACAACCCCCTCCCAATCTATCTATTGCCATCGCAACTGCCTTAACCCATCATCTCAGATACTCAGCCAGATACCCGAGATCGTTATGTGCGTGTCATTTATTTACTAGATCTTTCTATTGCCAGCACAGCGTGAATCTGTCAGGTTCAGGTCGAGATCGCCCGCAGATCTGACCTAAGTACGTATAGTAAGGTACCCAGTATAGACTACTATCTACACGTAGCGGACGGGCGCCCAAAGAGATGATGGTCACACAATTGCAGATGCCAGGTCCGACAGAATGACATTCTCTCTCTATGCAAGTTTAACAATTTTGCCATCATGGGGTGCTTTCTTTTTGTCTCCGGCAATCCATTTGCTGACCACCACCGAAACCCTAGTCGATACTTTCGGTGTCATCCCACGCTGGAACATGCAACGGGCCGGATATGGCTGCCTCCCCGCTGGAATTCCACCTCCATCCTTGGCCCATAGCCTTGATGTTTAATCCATCCACCTGGTGGTACCGGTTATGCATGTTTCCGCTTCGTCCCGGCGGTGCGAATTGCTGGTCCATTCCATCCGCAAATCCCCCACCTGTGGCCCCGTCAGGTGAAATTGCCGTCTAAACCATACGCGTACTTTGTGCTTGAGCGCTTACCTGGTCAGCCTGTGCTGTCAAAGTTCTGGCAGCCAATCACTGAGTAAGATGCTAGAATAGGATCACTAGAAGCGTGAGAGCTATCAGAATCTACTACACTCGCCTTGGTCTGCGCATGCTTGGGTAACCACTTTTGGCAGTGACATTGACACTGGGACCTATTATGAAACAATGCACAGGCTCAGACTCGACACTACCCCAAATTCATCCAATTAATTATTGACTTGGCTATTCTATTGATCTCGACCTCCGCGCTCTATTGTCCTTCGAACCAGGCGATAGCTGTCGTTCGCTACAACCTAGCAGGAGGCATCTGGCCTCACTTGGGCTCATCAAGTCTAAAAATAAACAATCATGCTCTTGGGTATCCTCAAGACGTAAACGTTCTCTGGCGAGTTCGAGGCCACTTCCACCTGTCATATCGACGCGGACTTACTCCTAGTACCACAGGGCGTGATACGTTGAGAAAGAAAAAAAAAACCCCGGCAGATACCCCGAGACAGAAAGCCAAGGAAATGCTTTATGCAACCGTCTATTATAATCATGACAAAACACGACACTTACCAACAGTGTCTAGACCCAAGTAACAGTGTTTGGCACCCAACGCAGCGTACCAATGACCGAGACTGGTCATAAAGGACGTCATGTTCTCAGAGCATCCATCGATTTCCTCCATCGAGGCCCGTAAACTTTCATCACGAATAGGACGGAGCTGCTTGCAAACGCGACCAGTCCGAGAATGGTGAACAGCCATCCATTGCCAATGGCATCGATGATCGGGGCGGTGACAACTGAGCCCACACAGGAGAAGATATTTCGCATAAAATTGTTCAGTGCGACACCTGCAGAGGATTTCTTGGGCATGAACTCTGTCAGCATGGTCGTTGCCATGCCGAAAATGAGCATCGATCCAACGCCGAAGAAGAAATTGGCAATCATCTACAAAATCTTGTCAGTAAGATGCCATGAAGTGCATGAAGCAGAGGGGATAAGCATCAGCAGATGTGTGAAACCCTTTGTGTCAGACATCCAAGAACATACCGGTGCAAGCCAAAACACGCCTCGATCCGCGCACCATCCATACCAGATCAGTCCAGCAGGGTAGAGCATGGCGCCAAGCCAGGCATTCTCACGCATCCGGTCTTCGGGACGGTAGATCAAGTTTCCATGTTCGTCGTATCTTTTGGCTTTCTTTGCCTCCCGTTGCATGATGCTATCCATCCAACGGCCTCCGAAGGTGCTAGCAACAACATATCCGAGCGAGTTGGGTATATAAAGTAGGCCAACGATGATTGTACTGAAGTTATATGGGCTAGCGCTGAATGTATGCTCAACACTGACATTTAGCACATAGAGAGATCCAAAAGTGATACTTGCGTAGTATACAGTTAGTAGAACGGGAGGATAACGCAGGTAAAGAATGATTTTCAAAGGGTCGAGAAACACCATCTTGAGGACCTTCAACCACCTAGTGGTGAACTGAACGACTTGTCGAGAGGATACTCGACTCACTTGACGCCTAATAGTTTCCTCTTGCTCGATATTCGCCTCCTGTGTCTGGAGTTTCGTGTTTGCCAGTGTTTCTGGAAGGGCAAAAAAGATGAAAACCACGGTGAGCCCTCCATAGGCGGCCAGAAACCAAAGCGTACTTCGCCATCCCCAGCGTTCAGCTAAAGCACCTCCTACAATTGGGGCTATCAGAGGTCCACATAGCGGACCGAGATAGAAGATATTCATAGCACGTCCCCTTTCTTGGGGGTCCCAAAGGTCCGCAATGGTTCCAGCACCAACCGCTTGAACTGATGCAGATGCACCACCACTCAACATTCGCAGTACAATAAGCATAGCTATTGAACTAGAGATGGCGCAGAGAGAGTTGAAAACGACGAAGAGGCTGAAGGAAACGAGGTATATCGTTCGTCGTCCCAATCTTTCGCTAAAAGATGACCACCACAGTGGGAAGATCGACATACTAAGCATGTATAGGGAAATTGATAAATTTGTTATGGTTGTTGAGGTTCCCAGTTCCGTTGATACTTGGGAAAGGGAGGCTGGCATTCACGTAAGGACACGACCAAATTGAGCCACGACTGGAGAGAAGGTCGACTTACGAAAGAAGATTGAGCTACCCATTGGAGCTGCAGCTCCTGCCACTGCTACCACGAATGTGATAAACCATTTCGTCTTGCGCGGATATACCTTGGGGTTCTCAACTTCAGCCAGCAACGAGAGCTGACCAAAAAGTCCCCTTCGTTTCAATCTAGGTACCACTATCGGACCTTCTTTCTCTTCATCTGGAAAGGTAGTGCGGACATGTGATTCCTCGTCTTTGCCTTCTATCACGGGAGAGTCGTCAGAGCCTTGAGATATGGAGTCAGGGTCGCGCTTCTCGTCGATCATCTCATCATTAGATCGTTTTGCTTCAGGGTGAGTATGACCAGCTGGGGAGACCTGCACCAAGTCGGCATCAGGAATGCCATTTGTTGCTGTCGCCATCTTCCTTTCCGTACTGCTTTTCCATATGAGAGGCTAACAGTCCAAGCAGCACGATAGGGCTCGTTTCAGAAGGGACACACTAAGAGGTCAGGACAGACTAGAATATCATGCATGTAATAAAGTGAAAGTAGCATGCGCTAACTAGCCTTGCCGGCGGGGCCAGTGACAAACTGTTAAGACGAGATATAAGAGCTGAGTATCATCATAGACTGTCAATAATGCAAGTATAAAAGTGAATAATGGTGAGAGAGTGTGGAAGACGAGCTGGTCGGTCCAGATAAGACAGTTGGAAAAGATCAAGTTTGGAGTAAGAAAGAAGAGGAGGAAGACTGGGGTGCGTCTTTGCTCATGAGTTAGTTTGTATCAGCCGGGGTTGGTTCGTCCTAATCGGGCAGGAAACTGTATGTGCCTTCCCCACTTGCTCTGGTTGCACCTGCCATTGGATCTCAACAATCCAGGATTCCTTGATAGATCGATTCTGCTTACAAAGGATATAGTAGATCCTGCACGGGCTGCAGGCTCGATTTCCCAATTTCTTATCTCTTCACTACACCTTCCTTTCTTTATTCTACAAACGTATCTCTAGCCGAGATTCAACATCCCGAGAATCCAGAGAATGACACCATCAAGCTGAAACTGGCAAGCAGCATGTAGTACACCGCTACACACGCAAGGCGCCAGTATGCATACCGCAGTCAAACCCTTTTGGTTGCAAAATACTGTCTGACATCTGTGTAGTTTGCTCCATAATTTATGACCAGGTATCCCGTCAGTGTGCTAAGCCCATGAATCAAGCAGCATCTAACCCTCCCTCCATACTCTAGGGGGCAAAGCCAAATTCAGGGCCAGCCAGTCAGAGACCAACCAACTGGTGCCGTCCCATCCGATGGCGGTCATTTCCGCCCCTGATTTGGCACTAATTGGTACTTTGCCGAGGTCAAGCCTCGCTAGATAGCCGGACGTTAAATGTCCCGCTCGGTAGTGGGGACTCATAGCATGAGAAACAGGAAGGGAAACAGTATGAACATCCGAATTGCACATGGTACACAATATCACAGGTGCTCGGTCTTTGAGGCTCGAGAGTATAACCGTAAGTAAATGATAATTGACATCGATGATGTGATGGAGCTAGAATGCTCGTTGATAAGGGCTCTCGGGGTCCTCTATATGGTATTGATCTTCATGTCGGGGAGAAGTAAAGCACCCGTGACACTATTCCAGCACAATACTTTCGCAATATCCTCTCTTGCAGTCAGATAACGATTGCTTCCTTCAGATTCACGTTGCTCCGACTATCGCTCTATGGACCGTCTTTCCTGATGACAAACTAGGCATGTCAAAGGGTATTACTATGAGATCTAGGAAAACCCCCTTTTTCGGGAAACCCCCAAGCAGCAACGATGTGACTCAAGCAGTCTGAACAGTACAATGAACGTAGCTATCCATATTGACAGTACATCTGCAACATCCAAGTCTATCTCCGAACAACAGCCATCTATGGACGACAAACCCCTCCCTCCAGCCCAGTGGATACACTCCAGCACGACCCGCCGGCTCACTCACTTGCCCCACGTTCGAGCCAGAAAGCCAACCAACCTCATAGACAGTTCCAGAAATACGAACCCAACTAGAATGACAACATAACTCACCACCTACTTACCTCGTACGTCCAAAGTACCTACTAGTACCTATCTTCATACCTAGCATCCATCATCAATCCACCATGGCCGACCAACCCACCCTGACAGCAGCCCAACAATCCGTCCACAACACGCTCGCCAAATACCCCGGCGAGAAATACGTCGACGGCTGGGCCGAAATCTGGAACGCGAACCCCACTCCTCCTTGGGACAAGGGCGCCCCCAATCCAGCTTTAGAAGATACCCTGACGCAGCGTCAAGGTACAATTGGCAATGCCATCGCCACGGACGCGCAGGGGAAGAAGTACCGCAAGAAAGCGCTAGTCCCGGGCTGTGGGAGGGGAGTAGATGTGCTTCTGCTGGCGAGTTTCGGGTATGATGCGTATGGGTTGGAGTATAGTGCTGCGGCGGTTGAGGCGTGTAGGCGGGAGGAGAAGGAGAGTACTACTAGTGCTAAGTATCCCGTTAGAGATGAGGAGGTTGGTAGGGGAAAGGTGGTGTTCGTGCAGGGAGATTTCTTCAAGGACGATTGGTTGGAGGGGTTGGGGTTGGAGTTGAACTGCTTTGATTTGGTTTATGATTATACGGTGAGTTTTAAAATGTCGCCAGAGGCAACGGTCTACGGGTGGTTCTCTAGATGAATGATTACTGATTTCGTGTATAGTTCTTTTGCGCGTTGAGCCCATCCATGCGACCTGACTGGGCACTCCGGCATACTCAGCTATTAGCCCCTTCGCCACATGGGAACTTGATCTGCTTGGAATACCCAAGGCACAAGGACCCATCGCTCCCGGGCCCTCCGTTTGGTCTCTCCTCAGAGGCTTACATGGAGCATCTCAGCCACCCGGGAGAGCAGGTCTCTTATGACGCCCAGGGTCGATGCAGAGGAGACCCTCTCCGTGAGCCAAGCGAGCGAGGACTGGAACGTGTGGCTTATTGGCAGCCTGCCCGAACACATGAGGTGGGCAAGGATGCCAATGGGGAGGTTCAAGACCGAGTATCGATCTGGCGCCGCCGGTAAGGCCATATCCGCGGTAGATAGAGTATCGCCGGGATGGGAGTCACTGCCTTGATTGGTCAATAGCCTAATCTTTGATTGACGTATTTGTTTTATACGCTTCTCTATGTATGTTTGGAGAGTGCGTTGTAATGCTCCCCGAGTCCGTATGTGTGTCTGTAGTAAGCCAACCAGATGACCCGCTTGCTTCCCTCTTCGTCGCCTGGCTCTTCGACATCGCCCGGTTCGATCTTTTCGATTCTCCCATCTCCTTGGATGACATTGATCTCGACGCCATATGCCCTGGCGATCGCTTGCAATTCAAGTTGTCCGCCCCATTCGGCCGTCAGTTTGACTTTCCTAGTATATTGGTCCAAAGGCTCCTCCATGAACGGCGCAAAGTCGTCCTGGTGGTCGCTGATGAAGTCTGCCGCCACAGCTCTAACCGCCCGATACCCGTCATGCTTAGGCGAAGCCACGGTATCAATGCGAGATTGAGTCGGAGGCTGAAGGATCATCCTCTTCGGGTCAGGTTTCAGACCGATGCCTTGCTCGTCCAATTGGCATGCGATGGCAGAGAACAGACAGTGTCCATCCGGGTTTATGTCAACCTCCTTCAACTGTAAGCGCTTGAAGACGCCCTCCATGACCTCTTTCTCATTTCCACGATGATCGGTCTGGTTTGCAGCCTCCTCCGCAGCAATCGCCGATTGCGCTGCTTGTTCCGCGGCACGACGTGCTAATCTGGCCTTCTGACGATTGGGCTTCTTGGGACGAGGACCGGAGGGCTGCGGGGTAGCGGGGGTAGAGCTTTGAGGCGACGATGTCGTTGTCTCCGACGGAGTATCTGCATTTTGCTGATCGGGCGAGTCACCAGCCTCATCAGCGTTTCGGTCCCCTTCGCTGGATTCGTTCAGACTGAGGTCTTCGATGCCATCCACAGGCTGGTCTGATTCGCCGTTTAGTTGCGCGATCTCAGCTTGTTGCCGCTCAGAGAGCTCTCTTTGGAGCCTCTCGCAATCATCGTTAACTCCTTTGCGAGTCTTCTTCGTGGCGGACTTCTTCTTCTGAGTGATTCGAGCCTGGAGATCTTTTTGTTCCTTGCGGTGTTTAGCTTGTAGCTCCTCCATCCTGGCAAACGGGGGATGTGCTGGTCCAACTGAAACTCTATGAATGACTCTAGAAGAATGTCGAGGATCAAAGTGTTGAATGAACGCGAAGGGCAGCTATGCAAAAATAAAATCAAGGGTATCTTGGCAGAGTAGGAAGTTCAATGCTGGACATGCACGAGTGGGATGAAGCTCAGCCCCGCCAAAGCCTGTCGTGACTTTTTCTGGATCACCCGATCGGGCCCTTCGATGTTGATGCCTTAAGGCATCAAGTCCCCTGGTCGCTCATCGGCTACTTTGAACGACCATCGAGAGGAGATAAGATACCGGCAATGATGAGAGTTGCCTCAGGTGTCTCTACCAGCTTTATGATTACTGTACTTCGTACTGACTGAACTCCTGCTGGCTCTTGCCACTGACATGTCATGCAAGCCACTACTAATCACTCCAGAAGCACTGCAACATTGTTCTTCCGTTCCGCCCAGCCTCGGTATCTTTTGTGACACTGTAGAGTGATCCCCGGTTGTTCGGGTATCCCCATTATCCCCGGGCGGACCCTCAGGCGGTAAAGGTAATATCTATAAGGGGTAGATCAGCGTCTCTGTCCAGACCTCACACGTGCGGCTGACTGAGTCTCTTGCAATCGGTCATCCTTTTGTTAAACTGACTTATCTGAACTTCCCTGACTTTCAAGTACGATATTTACCACACAGACCATCATCATGGACGTTCAGCAGTTGTTCAACGTCAAGGTGCGTACTGCGGAGATGCAGAGTAGAGGCCTCGGCCTGTACAGCTGAGCTGAAGATCTAACCATGCGATTAGGGCAAAGTCGTGCTGGTCACTGGTGGCGCCAAAGGAATCGGTCGGATGATCTCAGAAGGCTTCGTAAAGAATGGCGCCACTGTCTATATCTCGTCGCGAGACGCCAAGTCTTGCGATAAAGCTGTAAACGAGCTCAATGCACTTGGCACGGGCAAGGCCTATGCTATCCCTGCCGATTTCTATAAAGAAGAGGAAGTCAAGAGATTGGCTGAAGAGATTGCTAAGCGTGAGAGTAGTAAGTCTAGCCCTTAGAATGCTGCTCCCTAGGGGGGGGGGGAGAGTGCCACGTGCTCCAGCTTAACACATTCCCAGAGCTGCATGTTCTTGTCAACAACTCGGGTTCGAACTGGGGTGCCCCGTACGACGAATACCCTTCGTCTGCATGGACACGAGTTCTCACTCTCAATCTTCATCGTGTGTTCGACCTTACCAAGCTTCTCACCCCTCTACTGGAGAAAGCCGGCTCATCTGGCGACCCGGCTCGCATTATCAACATCGGTAGCGTTGATGGCATAAGGGTTCCGGCTCTGGAAACCTTTGCCTACAGTGCCAGTAAAGCTGGCTTGCACCATTTGAGTCGTGTCTTGGCACACCACCTTGGAAGACGGAACATCACGTACGTGTAACTCCCATATGATCGCTTATCGACGGCGCTTGGGCTGACCCGGCACTACCCGCAGATCAAATTCCTTGGCCTGTGGCCCATTCGAGAGCAAGATGATGGCTGCCACATTGGAAGCGCATCGGGAGACCATCGAGGCAAGTATTCCTTTGGGTCGTATTGGTACCCCGGAGGATGTTGCAGGTGCGTGCTTGTTCTTGAGCAGCCGCGCCGGCTCGTATGTGAATGGAGCGACTATTACTCTGGACGGCGGTAGCGTAATCGCAGCGAAGCTCTGAACTGTAAGCTGTAAGCCAGATGGAACGGATGTTCGGGGTAATTCATGTATGCATATGCAATGCAGAGTTGATCTAAGCCTACATACAGAAGGTCCAACCCAACTAATGGATTGTTTCATTTTAAACTTTTTGATCCGTGGTAGACCTGGCAGTCCGTGCCCAAGTCATGCAAATTATAATGTTCAAAACTTAGTCCAAGCCAACCCATCTTGTCTCCCCTACCATGAAGAAGGCAATACGACTGGAGGCTGAACAACGAGCTTGACATCATCCCATGGTTGGCATATGACAAAGGAGGATGTCATGCTGAGCGGTTAACTCTCATCATTGGGAGGAACATGGCTGAAGGGATTCACTCCCTCAACAAACCTTCCACTAGTATTTGCGAATGGTTGGCGTTTGCCTACCTTGCCTTCTGACAAATCTCAATATCATCTCCAGGGATCGTCTACTCCAGTCAGCGCACATCGAAAAAGCAACCTGGTGTTCTGCATTTTCCACGCCGAAGGTTGCTGCGGCGATCTTCGCTCGCCGTCAGCCACCATTTCTAGTGTGCACTAGAACCGTTGGCTAAGAAAATTCCCTCCTATATCGCAAAGGTGCATCTATACAGCCTCCATCTAAGCTCTGGTGACCGATCGCGTGGGGTCGTGATTTTCTGGAACGGTATTGGTCCGGACAAATCGCTCACTCTATCAGCGCGGGGCTCTATTGGCACAGAATAAAGATCTCACAGCGGACTCTCCCAAGATCCTAGTCCCGGTAAAGAGTCTGAGATTGCTGTCGAATTTGGGTAAACTAATCTTTTCTAGTTTCGTCTCTTCAGTCATTGCGTGTTGGTATTCGTGATTGGCTTGTCCCTTACCGCGCCGGAATCGTTTTGTTCCCGATCTATGAGCATACCTGCCGCGACGCAGTATGTGGAAGCTGCAGGCTAATTTTATCACTCTACATTGTGCGTTGACTATCATTGCAATACTGGTGGCACAAATAGCTCATCTATATGCACAGATGCATACATTCTTTTTCTGGGTCTTTTGGGATTGGTCGTTCTTTACCCCTACGGCAATCTCCGCGCCATCGATGCATACTTCTTCGGTGTAAGCTCTTCGACCGAGTCAGGGCTGAACACGTTAGTCGATCATTTCTTTATTCGTGCTACTTACCGTCGACTCATAGGAGCATAGTCTGACGTGGATATTATTTTTAGAGTCGACGTTAAGGACTTGGAGCTCTACCAGCAACTCTTCGTCTACTTTGTTCCAATCGTCTCGAACCTCGGATTCATCAATATTCTGGTGGTGGTTGTCCGCTTGCTATGGTTCGAGAAACGCCTCAAAGAAATTGGTAGGTACTTTCACGAGCTGGTGCTAGGTTGCTCGATGTTTATCCTCGCTGATGCGATGAACTTCAACAGCACCTGGTGTCCTTGATCGAAAGAGTAACCCATTGAACTATGATTCCGCTCGCTATGATCCTGAAGCGCATCCCCAGAGGCAGAGTGAGCCTACTACGTCAGAAAACGTACCAGGTGACTCAACAGAGAAGGATGTCGACGATGGCCAGCGCTTTGTTGGCTCGAAAATTGGTCATGTGGTACCCGAAAGGTGAGAACGTGGCCCGATACTTGATGTCGCTATGAATCGCATTTCTAATCGCCATATAGGCCTAGAAGCACTGGAAGAGTACGACCTGAAAACGACAGCTCAGATCCACAGCCAGCTGGTTTATCGCGGAGTATCTCCTTCGCGGACACTACCAAGGCGCTCTACATCCCTTCACCACAAGAGCGTGACAGAGGTACCTTAAATTTCATGGCGCGTTGACGGCCAGGCAATAGCTCATAGGAAATAGGGGTGCCGATAGCAGAAGTCCAACGAGGACCGGGTGAGGACGGTAAGCCTAACTACAAGCTCTGTTGCAATCACTCAGTCTGACACCGGGTAGTCATCGAAGAGGAAGATGAGGACGCCGAAACTGAGCGGAGAAACTCTGAAAATACGGATGACCTGTCTGAGAATGGTAGAAGCGCTACCGGTGGCTTACCATTCGAGCGGGTAGCATCGTCTTTGTTCGTGATCGGGAAACAACCTAGCAGAGCCCGAGAGCCATCTCTGCGGCCGGCCATATCTCTCTCCAAAGACGCAAACCTGCCGGAGCTCTCCGTACAAGCAACACTTGGAAGGAACTCGCAATTCCACAACCTGACTGCTGCAGACCGAGAGCGACTTGGTGGCATCGAGTACCGGAGCCTGAAACTACTCCTCAAAATTGTGATCGGTGCGTATATACAGCTTCGTTCCCTCTTCTGTGTTCAGCAGGCTCATCTATCATCAAAAGGTTATTTTGTTGGGCTTCATGTGATCGGTGTGGTGTGTCTTGTCCCTTGGATCTTGCATTCGAATCGCAAGTATAGGGACTACCTCGACGAATGCGGCCAAAATGAAGTCTGGTGGTAAGTCCTGGTATATATGAATCTTACAGGCATTCTATATATTCTAATATTTATAGGGCGATCTATTCGGCTCAGACGATGACTAGCAACCTGGGATTTACTCTTACTCCGGATTCCATGATATCATTCAATGATGCCGTGTTTCCTATGCTAATCATGAGTTTTCTCGCTTACGCTGGAAACACTTTATATCCTTGCTGCCTCCGACTTCTCATCTGGGGCATGTCCAAGTGTATCCCTGAGAGCTCTTCTCTTAAGGAGCCCCTGGAGTTCTTGCTGAAGTACCCTCGTCGGTGCTACTTGCTCCTCTTCCGCAGCAAGCCAACATGGATCCTTTTCGGGATAATTTTTGTGTTGAATTTTGTTGATGTCCTCTTGATCCTGGTTCTTGATCTCGACAACCCTGCGGTGAATGATCTACCTGGCGGACCTCGTGTGGCGGCAGCTATCTTTCAGTCAGCATCTTCACGGCACACAGGGACAGCATCGTTCAATCTTGCCGACGTGAACCCGGCAGTCCAATTCAGCTTACTCGTCATGATGTACATTTCGGTGTTCCCTATCGCTATCAGTGTACGAGCCTCCAACATCTATGAAGAAAAATCAATCGGGGTATTCTCATCAGAAACCGATATGGACGAAGGTGACGGCAAGAGATACGTCTTAATGCACATGCGAAACCAACTCAGCTTCGATTTGTGGTATATTTTCCTTGGAATCATGTGCATCTGCATTGCAGAGTCGGGGAAAATAATGGACCCCACGAAGCCGGTTTGTGACCCTCCTTGACCGTTGGAAGCATCGCTCTGACCTGGACAACAGGCATTCTCTGTGTTCGCGATATTTTTCGAAGTCGTCTCAGCCTAGTGAGTATAGCCACGCCATGGTTACTGCGCGTAGTTGTACCTAACGTATGCACAGCGGAAACGTCGGCCTAAGTCTAGGATACCCGACCGCCTCCACCTCCTTCAGCGCTCAGTTCGATATCTTCAGTAAGATAGTCATCTGTGCCATGATGATTCGTGGACGGCACCGTGGACTGCCATATCAGCTCGACCGCGCGATCCTCATCCCCAACAACCGCCTTGTGGAGGATGATAAAGTTGAAACTCGACCAAGTATCTCCCTGCCACGCATCCGCAGTATGGATCCGACGGACAGCAGATACATGAAGATGAAGAAAGCCCATACCAGATAGCAGGAAAACTTTTGTCTTTTGGGTTTGGGCGACTCTCTTCAGGCTTTCTTGCTTTGCCGGGGGGAGGTGAAAGGTTAATGAGTCTTGGGTGTGTACAGGCTGTCCCACACCGAAGAAGATCTAGAATGTACATAGACTGAAAGATCATCCCACTTTCATTGTTGCTGCGATGCTCCATGCTAGAGATATATCTATCGAGTGCCACGTCAAGAGCTCGACCAACAGATGCCGCGGAGACCCACAGACCTCCTTCATTTTTTGCTTTATTGGTTTGGTCCTCGTGACCACTCGTTATCTGGCAGTAATTGCTTTTTTTATTCTGGGATTACTCCTTTTTCTTCACATTTTCTCCTTATTCTTTTTTTTTTTTTTTTTTTTTTTTTGTTTTTGGCCTAAATTGTCCAACAACTTATCTCCAGAGTCCATTCAATGCAGCACAAGTAGGGCGGAGGCAGCCGAGGGAAATACCGAAGGGGGGGGGGAATAATTGAGTGGAGCGGCGACATCATCGGGCCCGTGGCGTCATAGTCTCCAAGGGAACTTCATTCTCTACATCAATGGGATGCTGTTGGGTGCTGCCGCTCAATCCGGGCAAGAAATAACAATTATAATCATAATCGATAATCAAAATTCCCCCCTGTTAGCGAAGAGTACAAATTCAACAGACTGAGACTTCTTCTCCTTATTTTTCTTCCTTAAGTTTTCAATCTCAACCAGTATATATTGAGAGTTACACACCGCCGAATTGCACACAAACAAAAACCTTCAAAGGAACCAGCCAAACCGAAGACCCGGTGTTGTGACGTACCCCCCCAAATCGCACGGGAGCTGAACCGCCGCTGGTGGCCAATCCATCTTACACAAAAAACTCCCTTTGTCGTGTACTTGCATTGTCTCTCAATCCTCTTACTTACCCAATACCCTACTGTTTGTCCTACCATCCTACCCAGCTTTAGCGAGATTGTCTGAGGTACGAAGAGCATAACCTCAGTTTTTTTTTTCTTGGGTACCGTCTCGAGTCCAAGAAGAGTTACAGCGCCACGAACGGGCCTAGCGTCTTCAATAATTGGTGTCGCAGTGTCACCCCTTAACCCATCCATCCATCCACCCCTGCTCGGATCCCCCGTTTTCGCTCTAGCCTTTCGTTTGTCGGGCCTGTCATCGAACGTCTCTTCTATCTACCATCCCACAATCTTCCGACGATGAGCTCGCCAAGTGCTCAGCATCGACGCAACACGTCTCTCGATCCATTCTCCGATCCCGACGTCTACTATGGCGATGAGGATAACATTGCTCGCATGAGAGACCGTAAGCGGGCATTCTCTTCGGTACGTCCGGATTCTACCGCTCCCCTAAGATAAGCTGAGAATCAGCTGTGCTGACCCCACGCCTGTG